GTTAGGGCAAATTTAGGATATGTTGGGGTTAATATCTTTCTATACTGTTTTGCGGGTTCCTGATACTAGCTTTGGAGGAATATTTCCCAAAACCCTATTCTGATGATCAAGGAACCTCTTTAAGACACCCCCAGTGCAACACCCTAAACCTTAAGCCCTAAACCCTGACCCCTAAATTTTCAACCTTAAACCCTAAACTGCTTCTTGGGCTTCCGAGGCTGGTTGAGCGCTATCCAGACCTGGGGATCAAGCAGGAGGGTAGTTGTCAAAGCTATGGTCCCCTTTTTGGGTACCCTAAATGTTAGGTGCCGTATTATGATAAGGACCCAAAAAGGGACCGTAATTTTGAGGAGGGCTTGTGTTGAGGGTTTCGGGTTTAGGCTTTAGGGAGCTCTTCTAAAGGAGCGAAGGAAAGGAACCCTTAGAACCCCGTAAAAGAAAGTCTTAAGGGTAAGGCTTCGAATTTGCATAGGGTCTAGGTTTTTGAGGATTAGGTGTCTAGGATTTACGGGGATGTTATAAGTGTTGATTACAGTGTTCGTATGGTTCAAGGCTTTAGAGCTCGTCACATTGGGCTTTCATCGGAACATGTGCGGGCCTTATAGGGTTCTACACGGGTTCAGTATCGGAGCTTGCGGGGGTTTGAAAAAGGATTCTATAGGCTTCCATGTGGTTTTGGGCTTGAGAGCTTTCTCAGGGTTTCGAATTCAGCGCAAGGGCTTTGGCTTTGGGATGTCGGGTAGTTTTGAGGGCATTTAGAGCTTTCGCGCTTCAGTGTGTTCGGTTCAAAGTTCGGGGGTAACGTGGAGTGTTTCCTGTTCTAGAATCTAGTGCTCACGGTTTGGGACTTTGCATGCGGAGATACTGCAGTGGGACTGAAAGTATAGAGTTCATGGTTTAGCATTCGGGGTTTGGAGTTCTATCCGGCTGGAGGATTTAATAAAGTGCTCCGAATACTAGCATTCCCTTGTACACCCCAATATGACTACGTATCCTTAAGTATCACCGAAGACCTTATTCTAATTATAAAGGACCCCAAAAGTATCTCCAGAGTTACCAAGAGGGTTTACTGTTCAGGGTTTGGAATACTTGCGGGAATCTACGCCCGAAACGCCTATCCGTTGCATGTCTGGTTTATGAGAGCCTTTTGCATTTTACGGTTTCTGGTATGACAGCCCATGGACATGTTCAATTCCTGTATTGCTTGCATATGGTTTCATGGTCTTGTCCAGGTGCAGAACCAAAACCTTCACCCCGGAAGTGTAAGTTTCTGTTGTTTGCTGTGGCAGCCGTCGCAAAAGCCAAAGATGTCCTCAAACCTCAAATTGTAGTATCCTCAAGGGAGCGGGGTCCAAGGGGGGTATATAGCCTAGTGATCCCTAATTCTCCCTAGTACTCCCTAAGGTTCCTTACAGTTCTCTAAGGATTCCTTATACCCTCCCCCCTTGAACCACCCTCCCATAAGGATCCTATAATCAAAGCCCCGAAGCTTGTCACATCGTGCCTGCATGCAGTCACCGCTTGGACGTGACCCTCGTAGCGCACCCATTGCGGATATGGAGGCGGACAGCGACGACGAACTCCTAGCAGAGGCGCTGAGAATCGCTGTGGACCACCAGGTACTATGCAGGACACAGAGGAGCTGCAGCTTGAAAAAGACATCAGACGAGATGATGCTGCAGAGGACGACTGCGCTCCTCAGGCGGATCGAGTTTCGCAGGCCTGCGCAGACTTTGCCGCCGCGAAGAAGACTTCCGCGAGCTTGCTCGCCGTTGGGCCGTTCTTCGCGATCTGAGGAACGAAGCCTGGCGCAGGTCGTGCCTTCTCGTGAGCCGGTGCAGCCCCGAAGCCCTGTCCTCCCAACGGTGGTCCCGCAGGCCCTGAACACCATAATCCCCTACTCGTCTCTGGCACCCAACCCTCTAGACTCTAGATGGCAGAAGCCCTGGGAGCAAGACATTGAAGCTTCAAATATTGGCACGTACAAACCCTGATAGACACCATGAGGCCTTGCAAGACCCTGCACCACCCTAAAACCCTAAACCCTAGAACCCTAAACCCTGCACCCCCATAAAACCCACAGAACCTCCCAAGCGCCCGAAGTGCTGAAGGACTGGCCTCGACTACTATCCCTGGGCAGCTCGGTAGCACTAACAAGTTAGGGGCTTTAAGGGTTTAGGGTCTAGGGTTGGGGGGCTTAAGGGGCGTCTTGAGGATTGGATTGGGAACTTCATAAGATTTCAGCATATTCCTTAGTCACGGGGTTTTGGAGTCCCCGCACGGTGAAGCGGATTTTACAAGGCTTCGATGCGCGTCTTGAAGGGGAGCTATATGGGGCTTTTAAGTGGTGTGGGCGTTGAAGCTGTAACTTGGGCCTATGAGGAGTCCAGGGGTTGAGGGGGAGAGGTTCGAGGTTTAGAGCATTCGTGCCTGGAGAAGTCATGGCTCATGATCTTTCCCAAAAAGCAGCCCACAGCAAACCCTACATCCTAAAACCTCTGAGCCCAGGTGAGCAGCAGCGTCTGGCTTTCGCCCGGTTGCTGCTCAATGAGCCGCGCTTTGCCGCCCCCTGTCCTGTTGCATAATGTATCGGGTTTTGGGTTTAGGGTTTAGGAGAGTAAAAGGAGGGACCCTTAATAAGGACCCCTAGGTATAGACCCTTAATATAGCAGTTTTATACCCATTATATAGCCCATTATAGGGTACTTTTCCCCTTTGAACGTAGGTAAAGGGGTTCTACAAGGGCCACTATAAGGGCCATTACTAGGACTTAAGGGGCCTTATAGGGGCCTTAATAATTACCTATAGTATTGTGGAGGGTTCCTTATCATAAGTATAGTATTACGGAGCCCAAAATCCTATTCTAATCATTAACGTTTGCTGTAAGGGTTTCCACAAATTTTGCAAGGCTCCCTACAAAGTTTGCTTAGGGTCCTTGCGAGATTCTGCAAGAGTCCCTCTGAGGCTTCCTACAGAGTCTGTAAGGGCTCCGGTGCTAAATATGTTTCTTTGAGGGTTCTGAAGAGTTGTCGAGCTGGGTGCTGTAGGTCTGTTTAGGGCTTTTCGGCACAAAGACCTGTGAATTGAAACACGGAAGAGTGGCGGGGTTTTCACGTTCATGGCACGAGATTGCCACACTGGGCTGACAGATGGCAGACAGTCTTGGCCACGTGTTCTAGTCCAAAGCCTTTCTTTTCACTTATTCCGTGGTACATGAGCAGGCATTAGAAGGCTAGGCCCCGACAACAGAATTCCGAAAAGCACTGCGGCATGTACGGCACATCAACAGCAAAAACTAGGAACAGACTTTCTATCCGTCAAAACCGCAAAAATTAAATATCTGCAAGCGCAACACTGGACCGAGCGCAGCCAACAGATTCAGCCAGCACGTAGAGACCCTTCTATGACTTCCGAACCGTAGTATCGAAACTCATGGCGTGCATATGTATCCGGGCTTCTAAACCAGTTGCGAGAATGCCTACACCCTAAACCTCGAAACCCCATGAGCCCGAGCCCTAAACCGTGACAAAGGTGCTTGACGAAGCCACCAGTGCTCTGGATGTCAACACGGAGCGCATGCTCTATTCCATGTTGGTTGCCAAGGGCGTTGCGGTCATCAGCAACACGGCGAGATTCCCTGAAACCTAAATATCTCTAAGCCACAGAGGTCCTGACCCTGAACACATCATCAAATCCCTAAACCCTAAACCCAGACACTGACCCTAAACGACAAGCGACAAAGCCAGGTAAGCTTCGTCCTTCAGTGATTCAGTCATCGTATCGCAACCCATCAGTCCCCAACCATTATCCCGTAGCTCTCTAACCCTTTCTGAAGAGGCCCAAGGGACTTGGTAAGTAGGTTATAAGTAGGGTTATCATTGGGGTAACTCCATTTAGGGTACTTATAACCCCACTTATAAGCTACTTACTAAGTCCCCTGGGCCTCTAAGTGCTGAAGAGCTGCACATCCACGGTGAGCCCTTAACCTCGCGCTAAGCCTAGCGGCTGAGACCGGGTCCATGTGGGAGTCTCCGAAAATAGGGGACCCCAATATAGGACCCTAACTAGTAGGATCCTTATTATAAGGACCCCAAAATAGGGGACCCTGATATATTACCCTAAATAGTAGGATCCTTATTATAAGGACCCCAAAATAGGGGACCCTAGTATAGGACCCTAACTAGTAGGATCCTTATTATAAGGGACCCCAAAATAAGGTGCCCCTAATTTTCGGAAACTCCCATGTAGCAAGCCAAGCAATCATGCAAGCGAGCGAGCAAGCGAGCGAGCAGTCCATCAATCTGCTGCATGTATATATGGGTGGATGCACAGATTGGCATAGATCCGCACATAGTAGTGTCGTCGTTAACTTTTCCTCCACCTACCTACCTGGGCTTTAGGATATCTATTGAATTATCATAATGCCTGTCAACGCACGGTTTGACTCTAGGCCTCAACTGTCAACCCTATATGGATGCAAGTGCCTGGCAATCACAGGTTTCGGGTTTAGAATACCCAAGTGCCTAACGAGTGGACCCTGAGGTTGGATCCTTACTCCCACACCGTTGCTTTGCTCTTGCCGTCGCTGTCTTCTGCTGAAACCGAAGAGAACGTATTTTTCCGAGCCAGAGCTCAGCCTTTAGAGCTTTTTGGCTTGAGGACTTGGAATTCAAGGGTTTTGGTTGAGGCTCTATAGGGCCATATAGATGGTGCAGAAGCCTCGAAGCTCGTGTTCATAAAGCTTTCAATTGCTCGCTAGGCATGCAGGTTTCGGATGACGCCTAGGATCGAAATCGAGCGTCGTAAGTTAAGCTGTCGATCCTTGGCACGACAGAGTGAGTTTAGGGTTTGCATGCAGGGTATCGCCAACGCTGTCCAACAAGGAAGTGGGCGCACAAAACGCCCAGGATTGCAACGACAACAACAACAACAACAACAACAACCCTTTAAGCCGCGTAGACGAGCCCATGAAGCATCCGGACTTTTACGCCTCTCCGGAAATGGATTTCGAAGACTTCCTCCGCGAGCCGTTTCCACGGCTGTTGGTAATTAGCGTAACGCTGGCACTTGCTGGGCTGACTTTCTGGGCCTTCGCAACCTATCTCCAGGCACGATGCGTATGCAGTGTTCAGGGTTTTACATGGGGCCCCGCACCGTAACCCCCAAAACCCTAAGCCTTAAATCATGAAGTTTCAATTGGACATTACTGCAGGATTAATTACTTGGTCTGGGCCGCAGCATGGCTTTTGTTCTACCCGGGACACTCAACCCTTGAAGCCCCTAAACCCTAAACCCGAAGAGTCTGTCATGTGGATCTGAGGTTGATCGTGACTTCGGATTGGGGTCTTGCACATCTGCTACAACAGTCTGAAATGCTAGCCATAAGGGAAAGGGTATGAGGGCTTGGGGGCGTCAGGGGCCCGAGACCTCCAATAGTCAGTTCAATATCGGATTTGGGGTTAAGGGTTTCGGGTTTAGGGTTTAAACGTTTAGGGTAGTAGTTCTGGGTAGTGTAATGCCTCTGTGTATGTATGGACTTTATGTATGTGATTCCTTAGGGTAGCACTGCAAGCTCGTACTTTACCGTAGATGCTTCGACCCTGATGTTGAGCTCGGAGAGACCCAAGTCTTCGTCCCCCCCATTTTGGGTCTCGTTTGGCTGTTTTCGTGTGCTCCAGGCAAACCGACTTCAAGGGAACTCCAGAAAGTTGGAATATGGATTAATGGTAGGATCCCCTATAATTTACCTTAAAGGGGTTACGATAATGATATTCCAACTTTCTGGCTTCTACTGTAACCCCCAGATCTTAAACCTTGGCCATCAAACACACATATCGTTTCGGACCCTCAGCCTTGGCCCTCAACCCTATAAGCTTAGCCTACGCCCGAACCTGAATCAAAAAACACCTTAAACAGGCAAACCGAAACCGAGTGGCAAAATTTTCGGGAGGTTTCCTTCCAGGCTCTTGGAATTTGGGAGTCGAGTGCTTAAAAATGCTCGAGTTTATCATTGACCTTTTCGAGAAGGGGGTTTCGGGTTTCATGTGTCTCCGTCTCTGTCGCTCCTGGTCGATCTCCGTGTGTCTACCTCTCACCAAGTCTTTGTCATAGTTGGATAACGCTTTACATTTTTATGGGTACTTAAACCCAATAAGGAATAAACATGTACATTTTAATCTCATTTTAATCCTATCCCGACCATGAACTAGAAGTCGTGTTGCAGCCCAGATGGATCTGGTTTCTGCTCGCCCCACCCCTAAACCCTAAACCCTGAACCCTCAACCCTAAACCCTGAACCCTAAACCCTGAACCCTAAACCCTACACCCTCAACCCTAAACCCTAAACCTTAGGCACATGAGTGGTTGTCAAAATTATGGTCCCTTTTTGGGTCCCTAATATAGTACGGCACCTAGTATTGACAACCACCCACATAAAGGGTAGAGCTTTTGCAGATTTCAAACCTGACCTCAGAGTCGATGAAGGGATTGAGGGCACACGGTTCGGGGTCGCAGTCTTGACTTTAGGGTTCAGGCTGAGGCTGTTCGGGTTTCGAGTCGGTTTGGGGTTCAGGGTTTAGGGTTTGTCGTTTAGGGTCCAGGGTTTAGGGTTTAGGGTTCAGGGTTTAGGGTTGTGAACTCCCTTGAGTTCACACCTGGTAGCTCGTGACCCTGTCACCAATGATCAAAGATCTGAAGAATGAAAGGTTCCTCAACCGCGAATCCAAGATCAAAAGAAGAAAGAGGCTGCCCTGCAGCTAAACGTTCCCCAGCGTCCCACGCTGTTTTCTCCAGCAGTCCGGCTCAGGCTTCAAAGGTCCATGCAGCACCCAGTGCTGAACCCTACCCGCCCACCTTCGACCCTTGGGCCTGAAAGGATAGGCGGTGCACGAACATGGCCACTCGCTCCTGTCGCAGCTGCAGCTCAAGATTTTCACACTAACCCTATTTTATTGGCCAAGTTCGTCCATCTGACGGTAAGCGACTCGGTACTGCGCCCAAAGATGTTCTGCTGAGAGGAGTCTCAAAAGTGGACTCGATCCTTCATCATCCCATGCGCGATACTTTAGGGGAGTCTTAGGGTAGAGGCCTTAAGACTTAGGGTCGGGGGGAAGCGGCTGAAGGCTGTTGGAGCCACTCAATGGCTTTCCGGCGTTGGGCATCTCTTGCTAGGGATTCTGAGGTATCGAACAAGCGAAAACGGCCTTGCGCAAGGACTGTCCGAAGCAAGGATGGATCCATATTCTTAGTCAAACTGTCAGCTACCTGCAATGTGGTGGGGATCCACCGGAACTGAGCGTTCTCTGCGCAACGCTGCTTAATCAAGAGCACTTCCAACGTCGTGCGATGTTCCTCACAAGTTGGCATGGCTAATCTGGTCACGAGATCAAAGAGGGATTTGCAGTCTGTCACTACGAGAGCAGTATTCAGCAGCTTATAGCTCTTTTCAGGTTGTCGCCAATCGAAATGAGGCACATGTACTACTCCCCACAGTGCACGGAGCCATCCCAAAAGATCAACGGCCTTTGACATCGCGTAAGCTTCGGCTGACAGAGTTGATCGGACCACTCGGGGTATTTTCTTAGAAACCCAAGCAAGAGGAGACACGGGGGCTTCCTGGTTTTTACTGAGCTGACCATTTGTGGCGCATACAAGAACACCCTGATGGGAATTAAGATTCTTCGAGGAGGCGAAGGATGCGTCTCCAAAAGAGACGAAAGTTAGCTGATCTGCCGGTATCGAAAGAAAGTGTACGCAGACCTGATCGAACTCTTGGGCCTCCCGCAAAACGCGGTTTGCAGTCAGCAGCGTCTGCACAGTTGCTGTTGTGATTTGGCTTTGGATTTCCCCTAGTTTAGCGGCTATGTCAGGCCTCGTATGGGTGACCGCGTATTGAACGCTTCCAACCAAACCACGCAGCTTGGAGCGCTCCTCTTCGGTGGCCGGGGATTCTGGGTTCTGCCTTCGACTACGACCTACATCAATGGGCAACACTTGACGGATATATTCGCCCTGTGAGGCACGGATCGTGAAGTCAGGCATTTGCTCAAGTCGAATACCGGTGAACACGAAATCTCGAAACTTTCGGCTACCGAAGGGCAAGGTTTTCTGCAGAGTCTGAATTTTATCTAGGAAGACGGCATCCCCTCCGCAAACCCCGTCGTCAACATGAACCCCTAAAATGCCATTTAGCTTCCCTTGGGTGTACAGAAGAAAAACACACGGCTCAAGAGGATGCCTAATGAACCCGAGGGCTTCAAGCTGCTTAGATAGCTCTTTGTAGAACAGCAATGGAGCATCAACTCTCCCATACGCATTCCCCAGCAACTGGCAGACTTCGTCATCTTTCATTTGGAGAAGCTGACGGAGTTCCTTCGGGGGTTCCATGGCAAGAGGATTACTCTCATCGGCTTTACCCCTTAAGAATGCAGTCTTAATATCAAAGGATCCCAGCGGAAACTTACACGAGGCTATGGTCTGTAAGACTAGCGCTCGACCTTCCTTCGAAAGTGTGGGGGCATCCCTCATAACCTCAACCAACTTAGGGTCCTGGAAACCTAAAACCACTAACCGTGCCTTGGCACGGGGTTGGGATTCACCGGGCTCGGGACTCTTCCAAGTGAGGATCCATCGACTCCTTAAGATCTGCTTGGGATTTAGCCGTCGACGAAGCACTGCACGGATGGCTGAGGTCTGTACCCAGCATTGCAACTCTTTAGCCTTTGCCTGCTCAAACAGCTTTACCTCCTGAGGGGTCAGGTCTTTTACGTTAACCTCAGTCCTAGCACGTTTGCTCACGGCTGCCAAAGTTGCAAGCTGCTCGGGCGCTGCTTCGGATGCCCAACGCTTTAGGTCCTTATGTCTTATGGGAACTTCTAAGCAAAAGGCTTGATGCTCAGCACACTCTAAGGGATTTTCGACATATGGAAGATCATCTTCGGCAAGCGGGGGACCCTGAAAGTTGTCGCTAGTCTGAAGCGTTGTGAAATCCATGATTTCCTCTCCCTGAGAGTCCCGAACACCCAACTGGTGACTAGCTAACAGGGCTGTCTCAGTGTAAAGACCCTCCTCGCTGTCGGGCACAGGGATGCTTGCGACATCAATCTGTCCAGGATCACTATACTCTACGGTCGGCTGCACGGAATCAGAAGGAGCTGCGGCATCGCGCTCAACTTCTGGCGCATCAAGGGAAACTGGAGCTTCCGTCTGAATGCTGACTTGAGGCGTAAGCTCTTGCTCGGGTTGAGCAATGTCATTATCGCCTTCTCCATTTCCCTGAGCGGCGGACGCGCCAGACACAGGAACTGGTGACAAAACAGCCAGCTCAGGAGATCCTGAGGGTGAGGCATTCATCGAGGAATTGGGTATCGCGGTGATTTCTGGATTGGGAATCGTGAGGTCAACAAAGGTACTGGCGCCTCCAACTCGAGAAACAGTCTCGGAATTTGACACGGACGTCGAGAGGCTCTGCCACTCCCTCAGGGAAGCTGGTCGCAGATTCTCCGGAGCACACCGGAGGATTGTTGCTCCGTGAGCAACCCAAACTACGGACTGCCCTTCTTGGCAGATGACCTTGGCCGGACCGTGCCACCTACCTGCTGCAAGCCGGTTTGGCGATGTCTTCTTAGTCCAGTACAGGACCCATGACCCTGCAGCAAACGGACCTCGCACCGGATGACTACGCCTCAACATGGCCCGCCGGATTGTTTGGCAGTTGTCGGCTTCGAAGAAGGCTTGTCGAGCCCTACACCGTAGGTCCAATCGTCTTCGGTGGGCCTCGGCTTCAAGATCATCACCTTCGGTCAGTGCGTGAGAACTCCACTCCTCGTCGGAAGTGATACTTCCGGGGATGCGAACAGACTTCCCCAAGACAATCTGTTCTGGAGCATAGCCTTTATGACGGACCAAAGCATTCTTAGCATTGAAGACCTGATGAAGTGCCTGATCAAGCGAACTATCGTTGGTGATTGGGGATTCTTTATCTAGTCGGCTCAACATGCTCTTTACGATATCACCGTGGCGCTCGACTCGACCCCTTTGCCAAGCAGCTGCGGTGACAAATGTTTTGATGTTTTGGCGCTGAAAGGCTTCCAAGGTGGCTTCCGATCGA